ACCATGTAGTCAACGTTTTCTATAATGAGCTCTGAAACACTAGAGTAACCACAAGAGCTCGCGATGATGTTCAAGGTTGTCATAGCGTGATCTCGAATTTGGGGGGTTGATGAACCCAGAAAAGCTGCAATGGGGTATAAGACATCGATGAGCTCGGGTCGGAATGCTTCCCTCGAGCGAGATGCTGCATAGGCCACTACCTCGAGCGCCACGGCCTCAAGCCGCCAATCGACATCTGTATTTTCCATGCTAGCGTCTATGAGTGACACAGAGAGGGCATAAAGCTCGCGCAAGGCTGTCTCGGGATCTTCCGATTCTGTAGTGACCGATGACAGGTCAAGATAATCATCCACGTCAGAAGTTCGAGTGAAGGCAGCTTTGACAAGCTCGAAGGATAGCCAGAGGGAAGAGACTTGGGCTGCATCTGTCAGTTCTTGCGAGTAGTCCAGCATATCGAGCGACAGCTTCACTTGTTGAGACGCAGATCCGACTTTAGAGATCAACCTCAACAATTCAGATCTTGTGGTTATCTGACTCTCATGGCCCAGGACTATCAAGCTGTAGTCCACTGCAGTACTATCGGCCCGGGTGAGATCTTTCCCCGAAAGCGGGACGAAGCTCGACGACACAGACTGAACCGCCTGCTTCTGACCGTCGCCAGCCAGAAGGGAGGACACACTGTCTCGCAGGGCCATAGACACGGCGTCACTGAGCGTGGAAGAAGCCAGTTGCAAACGTGACACCAATTCGGTGCCCTTCAGAACGTTACGAATCGCGGCCTGCTTCTTCTCTTCTTCGGCCGACTGCATGATTCGCGGCAGGGCGGTCAGCCAGTTATATACCGTGACCTTGATTAATTCCGCTAGCTCAGGATAGATGGTCGCCAAATCCTGTAGGCTAGTGGTGAGGGTGGATGGTGCGTCTTCCTCGGGTTCCAACATGGTGGCTGATTCGACCAGAATGGAACTGCAGTTTTCTAGGGTCGTGTGACACTCATCGAGAAGCGTCAGGGATAAGTTTGCGAGTGCATCCGGACCTCATGGGTCTTGCTGTTGCGAAGCTTCATGACGGAGGCCAGGGCCAGCTTTGATTTTGAGCAACGGGTAGCGGTTTAGCCATGGGCCGACTCAGCACTTTTCTGGGTTGTCAGCTTTCGAAGCCTGCGCAGTTTTCTCTGCTGATGGCTCCTCGTTCTTATATTCACCCGAGAACGGCAACAAGGACTAGCCTCAAGGTCGTGATGGCTGCCGCGAGTACCCGCGTCTTCTCGTGGGCTGGCATGGACAGCAGCTTGGTGAGGGCCGAGACGACACCCGGTAACAGAGTGGCCAGCGCAGCGTGGTCTTTGATGCTACGGAATACCGCCTGGAGCGCTCGCAATGATTCCAGCTGTATTTCCGGCGTTCTTCCGCTGGCTACACTGTCGATGACTACCGTGACGCCATGTCCCAGTGCCGGGATGGTTTTGGCATCGACGAGAGACGCGGCGGCTGCGGCAGAAGAGCCTGCCGCTGTAATCAAGGCTGTCAGCGCCCTAAGAGCTTCCAGTGTCGTCTCTTCTGGAGAGTTACGCTGGTCGTTCTGTCCAGGTGCCCCCCCAACAATAAAAGTCAGCAGGATGAGAAGCTGCTCGACGATCTGGGGTGAGATGCTGCCCTTCCAGCCGTGAACAGTGATGGCGGTAAGACACCTGAGGGCAGCCTCCAAGAGACGGGCAGGATAGCCCTCCTGATTTCTGAAGACGTGGGACAGGGGAAAAAAGACATAATCGGCCAGCTTGTCGTCAAAGACGGAGGCATCACGGTTGATTTGGGAACTGATAATGCCGTGAAGCTCTTCGATCAGGTCGACAAGATGGCGAATTGCTGTGGCTCCCTTTGGTGGATCAATCGCTATCCGGCTTATGGACACGCAGCAGGGTTTGAGCTGGCGGAACGGTCAGATGGGCAGGCGGAACGTGAGAGTAGAAGGGTCTGCCAACCTGTTGAAAGAACTCATTGCGGGCCGGGTTTGGTGAAATGTTGGCCATTGAGGGTGCGGCTACGAACGCATTCGAGGCTCAAGCCATGAGCACTGGCTAGTGTTGAATGTAACGAATAGAACCGCCAGTGTGTCGTGGCTGCTTCTTCGTGTATTGGTCGCCAAATTCGAGTCTTGTACGAAGATTACCTATGGTGTGTTTAGATCTATGTAGGTGCTCTACCTAGATAACTGGGATGCAGCACGGTGGAGAGGGAAGTCAAGGTCCAGAGCCAAGTGTCCCTGATGAATGAGTTGTGAATTGTGCACATTATGCATACCGTGCCTCGATCGGTAGGCACTGTGCTCGTGGGGGCCAGGCAGGCAGCTCTGTAGGCTCTTCCACTATAACAGCCCGTAGTGGAGTGGAGGGCAGTAGTAGCCCAGCACCTTCGACCACCAGGAAAGAGGGGCACACTTCCTTTCCATCAGGTAATGGAACAGATCGACGGCCACTCTTCGCTGTGCAAACCTGTTCATCTAGATTCACTGCTCGTGAAGACAATCAATCTTTGTGAAACCCAGAGCCATTTCGACCTTGACCCTTGTATTTGTTTGTCTAATATCACACACGATGGACACACCATTTGTTTGCATCGCCCACCCCTTCGAGTCCGCGGGAAACATCTCCCACGCCTACGAGTACGGCCCGGTGAAGGCCCGCAAGGCCATCATCTTTGTCGGCGGCTTGGGTGATGGACCTCACACGGTTCCATTCGTTCGACCTCTGGCCACTCACTTGGAGGAGTCGGGGCTGGACTATTCGGTCTTCGAAATCCGCATCAGGAGCTCCTTCACAGGCTTTGGCTACTCGAGCCTCAAGAAGGACGTCGAAGACATTGCGGCCTTCGTCAGGTACCTCAGAGGCATCGATAAGCAGAAAATTGTGCTCATGGGCCACTCGACGGGATCCCAGGTCGGTATTTCTTGTCCACTTGGCGACCAGCTGGCACGACTGACCATGGCAGGATTGTGTCGAGTACGCCGCGAATGAGGACGATCCCGTCGATGGCTTTATCTTGCAGGGGCCCGTGTCAGACCCGCGAGGCCGCTGCCATCCACGTGGACGCTGAGAAGCTCAGGGAAAGCGTCGAGCTTGCTGCCAGTATGATCGCTGAGGGACGAGGAGACGAGATGCTACGACCTGAACAGGTGGCTCATACTTTTGAGCCCATCACGGCCTACCGTTGGCACTCGCTCATTTCCAAGGGCGGTGACGACGACACTTTCTCGTCTGACCTCGACGAGGAAACGGTTTCCAGAATATGGAACCGGTTCCAGAAGCCGGCGATGGCCCTGTACTCGGCCGAGGACGAGCACGTCCCCGCTCATGTCGATAAGCAGGCTCTTGTGGACTTGTGGAAGAAGCTAGGCAAGAATGTCCACCCCCTCTCAGGGCTGATTCCCGGGGCGGGCCATACCGTTAGGCAGCCAGATGGACAGGCCTGGCTCAACGATCGTGTGGTA